ATATTATGTTATCAGTTATCACCTATGAAATATAGACTGAGAAATTAAAGTTATTTATATAGGGAATAAACTTAATACTGTTTTGTTAGCACTAGAGCAATATCGCTTACTCCCAGATTTTTATGAGCCATAGAACATATCACTCCTGGTTATATAGAAGGAAATAAATGGAAGAAACATAATAGAAAATAGCAATAGAAAAATGCCAGTTCTTCATAAAGAAACATGGGCTCTTGGCAGATAATCTTTCTTTTCTTCCTGTAAAATTCTTGCTTCACTTTTTCCTTAGTGTGTTGAAATGGTTACAAAATGTTTATTCAACCATAATGCCTTCACTTTAAAAATTAAATGAGCCAAGTATTAGTAACTCACATCTGTAATCCTAGTTTCTTGGGAGGCTGAGATCTGAGGAGTACAGTTCAAATCCAGACTGGGCAGGAAATTCCATTAGACTCTTAACTCCAATTAAACACCCAAAGAACTAGAAATGGAGCTGTGGTTCAAGTGGTAGAGTGCGGGGCTGGGAAGGTGGTTCAGTGGTAGAGCGCTTGCCTTGCATGCTCGAGGCCCTGGGTTCGATTCCTCAGCACCACATAAGCAAAAAGAAAAAAGCCAGAAGTGGCGCTGTGGCTCAAGTGGTAGAACGCTAGCCTTGAGCTGAAGAGCTGAGGGACTGCGCCCAGGCCCAGAGTTCAGGCCCCACGACCGGACCCCCAAAAAAAAAAAAAAGTGGTAGAGTGCTAGACTTGAATAGAAAAGCTCAGGGATAGCACCCAGACCCTGAGCTCAAGCCCTAGGACCAGCATACAAGCAATAATAACAATAATTTAATTGAGAATGTTTTACCCACTTGTGATTTGGCACACTAGGAAACTTTGGCCTGAGAAGAAATTACTGGGTCCTGAAGCTAGCTAGTGGTAAAAAGGATCACATTCACACTGTCTTCCTCCAGGATAAGGACTCTGTTCCTAACCTCCCCCATTCCCAAGTGGCTTTGCTAAACATCAGTATGAGAAATGGTTATAAGAAAATGCTGAATGGGGCAGGGAATGGGGCTTAGTGGTAGAGTGTTGGACTAGCATGCTGAAGCCCTGGGTTCGATTCCTCAGAACCACATATACAGAAAAAATTGGAAGTGGCACTGTGGCTCAAGTGGTAGAGTGCTAGCTTTAAGCAAAAGAAGTTTAGGGACATTGCCCAGGTCCTGAGTTAAGCCCCAGGACTGGCAAGAAAAGAAAGGAAAAGAATGGAAGAAAGGAAAAGGAAATGGTAAAGGCAATGCCCACATTACCATTTCTTTTGAAATGCTTGGGAAATCAGTCCCATTTAATATTGGGGAGAGAGGGAGTTTGTATATAATGTAATCACTATCCCTTTATCTCTAGTATTGAATTCTGACTCATAAAGAACAATTTATTTTTATTTTTTTGTCAGTTGTAGGGCTTGAGCTCTGGGCCTGGACACTGTCCCTCAGCTCTTCAGCTTAAGGCAAGCGCTCTACCATTTGAGCTGCAACACCACTTCTTGTTTTTTTCTAGTGATTTATTGGAGATAAGAGTCTCACATACTTCCTGCCGGGGCTGGCTTTGAACCGTGATCCTCAGATCTCAGCCTCCTGAGTAGCTAGGATTAGAGGTGTGAGCCACCGGCGCCCGGCTTCCCTTTGTCTTCTTGTGATAAGAGTAGTATAAGAAAGAGTCTGTTGGAAGTGATTTGAATATACTCATAGTTAGTATTTTAATCAGTATGATTATTAATGACTGTTGCTTATATTTGTCATAGTTTACTTTCTATCACTATGACAAAATACCTGAAGTTGAAATTTTACCAAGAGAAAAAAAAATTTTTTACGGAGAAAGGGTTCATTCTGTTTTAGCGGTCCAAGAGAATGGCACTGGGGTAGGAGGGAGGAAGAGGAAGAAGGAAAACTAATCTACTTCTGGAAACAAAGTTAAGAACCAATTAATGAGAGGTTAATTAATAGGTGCTGATCATGTGTGAAAAAAAGAACTTGGGAAACAGGAGGCGGTATCTGGGGAATAACAGAACCACCGATTGAAGGAGACAGAAGGAGACTGTAGTTGCTGAATTCCTGCAGCAATCAATGTTGTTAGGACTCAACACTGAAGGAGGTGAATCCTAACAAAAGAACTGCAACTAGAAGACACATTGTCTCAGCTTTCTTTCTCTTACATTTCTCAAATCTCAAGGGAGGCAGTGCACAGTTGGGACTTCTCTGGGTTGGAAATATTCAAGTGGAAACAATGGATGCTCAAGGGTATGTGAAAGGACCTAGACTGTTACAGTGGTGGCTGTGATGGGGTCATATATGGGAGAAAATTTAAATTAATCTCTGGAGCTGGGAAGGTGGCTTAGTGGTAGAGTGCCTGCCAGCATGCATGAGGCTTTGGGTCCAACTCCTTGGTATCACATAAACAAAACAATAAATAAGAGAAATAAAAATTTTAATGAGAAAAATTAATCTGAAGCATTATTAAAAATTAATATTTAGGAACATGAGCATATTATGCTTGACCATCTCAGAGCCAATATAGATGTGACTTTTAATTTTTTTATAAATATATTTTTTATTGTAAAGATACTGTTCAGAGGGGTTACAATTACATGAGCAAGGTAGTGAGTACATTTCCTATCAAGCATTGTTACCCCCTCCTTTGCTTTTCCCCTACCATCCCTTTCTTCCCTCCCACTCCCCCCATCCCTGCAAAATTGTAAAGTTCATTTTCAACATAGTGTCTTGTACTTCTCATTGTTACAATAGGTCATCTTTATTGTTATTGTAAAGGTGATATACAGGGCTGGGAAGGTGGCTCAGTGGTAGAGCACTTGCCTTGCATGCCTGAGGCCCTGGGTTCGATTCCTCAGCACCACATAAGGAAAAAGAAAAAAGCCGGAAGTGGCACTGTGGCTCAAGTGGTAGAGCACTAGCCTTGAGCTGAAGAGCTGAGGACAGCGCCCAGGCCCAGAGTTCAGGCCCCATGACCAGACCCCCCCCCCCAGCCCAAAGAAAAGGTGATGTACAGAGGAATTACAATTACATGAGTAGGGTAATGAGTACATTTCCTTTCGTACAGGGTCTTCTGTTCCCTTACTCTCTCCCAGTCCCTCCCTCCCATCTCCACCCACTAGATGTGACTGCTGGGCACTGTCTATATATAGGACTCTCAGGTTTTTTGCAATAGTGATAAAAACCAGACCAATACAATATTGCTGATGTTCACATTCTAAAAGGATGAAAAGGACCACCAAGGCATTTAATATTTGGAAATCCATGTATGTAAATTTTCCATGTAGTTCATGGTAGTCATGTTTCTGGCTTTTTCTTTTTGCTATTGTTGTTTTTTCAGATGTGGGGCTTGAACTCTGGGTCTGGGCGTTGTCCCTTAGCTCTTCAGCTCAAGGCTAGTGCTCTACCACTTGAGCCACAGCACCACGTCCAGTTTTCTGGTGGTTAATGGAGATAAGAGTCTCACGGGGCCGGGAGGGTGGCTCAGTGGTAAGAGTGCTTGCTTCGCATGCATGAGGCCCTGGGTTCCACTCCTCCACCACATACCCAGAAAAAGCTGGAAGTGGGCACTGTGGCTCAAGTGGTAGAGCACTTGCCTTGAGCTTAAGAGCTCAGGGACAGCACCCAGGCTCAGAGTTCAAGCTCTACAACTGACAAAAAAAAAAATGTCTCACAGATTTTCCTGCTCGGGTTTGAACCATGATCTTCAGATCTTAGCCTCCTGAGTAGCTAGGATTGAGGGTGTGAGCCATCGATGCCCAGTTTCATGTTTTTTGTTTGTTTGTTGTTGTTGTTGTTTGTCAGTTGTGAGGCTTGAACTCTGGGCCTAGGGTACTATCCCTAAGCTCTTTTGCTCAAGGCTAGCACTCTACAACTTTGAGCCACAGTACCACTTCTGGTTTTCTGATAGTTACTTGGAGATAAGAATCTCACATTTTTCTGCCAGGGCTGGCTTTGAACCACAGTCCTCAGAGCTCAGCCTCCTCAGCAGCTAGAATTACAGGCATGAGCCACTGGCACGTGGCTCATGTTTTGTTTTTATTTTTTTATTGGTTGTGGGGCTTGAGCTCAGGGCCTGGGGACTGTCCCTGAGCTCTTTTGCTCAAGGCTAGTCTACCACTTTGAACCACCAGTGTTTTTTTTTTCTTGGTTTTATTGCTCTGCTGAGGACTGAACCCAGGGTCTTGCCTGCCTGGCAAACATTTTACTTCTGAGCCTCCTTTCCAGAACCTCATTTTTGTTTTCAGTACCAGGGTTTTTTTTTTTTTTTTTGGTCATGGGGCTTGAACTCTGGGCCTGGGCGCTGTCCCTCAGCTCTTCAGCTCAAGGCGAGCGCTCTACCACTTGAGCTACAGTGCCACTTCCGGTTTTCTGGTGGTTTATTGGAGATAGGAGTCTCATGGTCTCTCCTGCCCGGGCTGGCTTTGAACCGAGATCCTCAGATCTCAGCCTCCTGAGTAGCTAGGATTACAGGCGTGAGCCACCAGCGCCCGGCTCAGTACCAGGGTTTGAACTCTGCCTCCTGTGCTCACTCAGCTTGCTTGCTCAGCTGCTCTTCTACCACTTTAACCACAATTGTTGAGCCACAGCGTTTCACTAGTTTCTTTGGAGTTTGAATCTTACAGACTTCTTCTGCCCAGGCTGACTTAGATCCTCAAATCTCAGCCTCCTGAGAAGCTAGAATTATAAGCAGAAGCCATAAGGCACCTGGTTCCCCTTGTGTTTTTATATATTGCTTTACTTCAACTTCTACACCTAGAAAAGCAAATCCTTCAGGGAGGAACTTTCTCTTTTTTATCCTCAGCAACTACAAAATCTTGTTGAAAGAGACAGAGAAATTCCTACGGTAACTCAGCAGGTATATTCATCCAAAGCTTTAAAATGCTTATTATGGAAAAGTTGGACCTACATATCTGGTAATTTCTAAAGTCATGGATTTCATGGGTGGAAAGATGAAAAGTCAGGAAAGATGTCAGTTCACTTTGTGTTTTCTCTTTGCTAGTAAGAAAAGCAAAATACAGTAGACCATGGGGAAGACACTGTTAAAAGAATTACACAGCAACCGGAGAGAAGACAGATTCCTGCCTTCCACCGCCAGCATAATGTAGGCAATGATGAGCTGGGTATGAGCCCAGGTAAGGGCTCTGTAGAGCAGCCTTAGGGGCCAACATCTGATAAAACCATTGGCAAAGGTGTGGATCAAGTAGTCAGCTTCCACCATTACAGCCCAACAAAGAAAACCAAACACTTGTCCTGGGTGGAGCCCATGCCACCAGGCAGAGAAGGCAAAGGTCTGGAGCAACCGGCAGCCCCTGCTGCGCTGGAAGATGAGTCGTCTGAGCCACTGAGCTGTGCTTTGGTTCCACGTTCTTGTGAACAGGGCTATTCTGTGGGTGGTCTCCAGGGTCCAAATGTCTGCATCCGGGATGTATTCCTCCTCTCCAAACTCAACCCCAAAGCCCGCAGCATGGAGCAAAGAGTCATCCCGTAGCCAGTGGGAATAGTAGGTGAGTTTGAAAAGCCCAGCGGTGGTCCACATGGTGTAGACACATTCCACATGCTGGCAATCTTCCAAGCCGGGGCCTGCACTCACCAGCAGACTCAGGGCTTCTCTAAGGCACTCCAGTGCAAGAATCTGCAGGCCCCTCCAACCCAGAGACCAGAAATCACGCCTGTGATGTGAAGGGCTGCCAGACCTCTGAACACTAGCCTGAAATCTCTGGAAAGAACACAGGGAGCCTCCCAAGAGAGCAGGGAAAAAGAGCAAGTAACTGAAATAGGGCAGAGACTTACACACATAGTCAGACCAAGAGCTCCCGTTCCTGGCGAGTCCTGACGCAGCCTCCACCTTCCCATCACAAATGTCCATGCACAGGGATGTGACCCTCTGGGTCAACAGCATGAGGCAAGAAAGAGTGATGCAGAACCTGAAAGAGTTGTGAAAATGTGAAAACCTTCTCTCTCTCTCTCTCTCTCTCTCTCTCTCCCTTTCTGTCTCCCTCCCGCCACACATGGCAAGAACCCAGCCCAAATCATGCTTCACAAAGATTCATTCAGAACCATGCACTCTTCCAGAATCAAAAGATGAATGGTGCTAGACACCAGTGGCTCACACCTGTAATCCCAGCTACTCCAGAGGCTAAGATCTGAGGATCAAAGTTTGAACCAGTCGAGGAAGAACAGTCTGTAAAATTGTTAGCTCCAGTTAACCACCAAAAAGCTGAAAGTGAAGCTGTGGCTCAAGTGGTGGAGCACAAGCCTTGAGGGAAAAAGCTAAGGGACAACGCTCAGGACCTGAATTCAAGCCCCATAATAGCACGCGCATGTGCACTCGCACACACACACACACACACACACACACACACGATTGGGAAAGTTAAGCATTAGAGAGTAAAAGAATGATAAAGAAATTGTAGGGAAATAGTGATTATAATATTTCTAAGAATGGTCTATGAACAGTAGGATTAGAGCCAGGGGTATGGTGCATACCTAAGATCCCAATACTTGAAAGGCCAAGGCCAGACAGTCATGAGTTCAAGGTCAGTCTGGGCTACGCAGTGAGAACTTTCTCCAAACAAAAAATAAATTGAAAAACCAAAAAGAAGGATGGACTAGAGAGACTAGGATCAGAGACTTGGAAGCAATATGACACCAAAGGAAAAAAAGACTCTGTTGTCTCTTAGAAGAACAGAAAGGCACAGTACCTATGTGTCTCTGATCATATAAAATAATATTTATTGGAATATTTCCAGGAAATGGAAGCAAGAGGTTTTTTTCCTTTGTTGCTGTTTTTTGTTTTCTTTTCTTTTGGTCTTCTTTTTTCATTTACCTGTCTTTGGGAGGGAAGGGAAGCACAGAAATGGATGGACAAAGGGTGAACAAATGTAGCAGTGTTACTTACTAGATACCATGTTAAAAATGAACTATACAACTTGTAGGTGAGGATGGGAGGTAAAACCGAGAGAGTGAGAGAAGGGGTAACATTACCCTTCAAAACTGTACTCTTTACCTGACTTACTTACTCTGTACCTCTCCTTTATAATAACAATAACTTTTTTTACAAAGTGGTGAAGAGATTACAGACAATTAACTTAAAATTTTTATAGTGAAATTCTAAATTTTATTATATTTAAGTGTAATGTGAAAATGCAAAAACAACAAGAAGGCAGCCTCACAGAGTTTGTTGAACAAAATCAAAGGAACTCAAACAGACTTCAAATAGCATTTTCTGAGGCTTCTAAAATTTGCTGGTTATTGGTTAGTTTTCATTTCTTATGTGTGTGTGCGTGTGTGCGTGTATGCGTGTGTGTGTGTGTATGTATGTGTGTGTGTGTGTGTGTGTGTGAGTGTGCATGCACGTGCCTCATGGGCTTGAACTCTGGGCCTGGGCGCTGTCCCTCAGCTCTTCAGCTCAAGGCTAGCACTCTCCCACTTGAGTCCAACACCACTTCCAGTCTTCTGGTGGTTAACTGGAGATAAAAGTCGCAAGGACTTTCCTACCCAAGCTGGTTTTGAACAACAATCCTCAGATCTCAGCCTCCTGAGTAGCTCACAGGTGTGAGCCTCCGGTGCCTGGCTAGTTTTCATTTCTTTAATGATGCATGATATCATAGCTTTCTCATGTTTCTAACTTCATATATTTTTGTCTTTCTTTTTTCTGCACTTGCTCTTTAGTTGTTTATATCCACAAGTTTTCATTTGCAATGTTCATTTTCTTCTTATGAATTTAAAACTACTTGTTAATAGTAAGCATACTTTTTAAATTTAATTTTATTGTCAAGGTGATGTACAGAGTAAGGCTTAAATTTACATAAGTAAGGTTACCCCCTAATATAATAAGCATATTAACTCCTATCTTGCTGTACATGTTACAATGATTCAGTCTTCAATCTTAGGGATTTTTTGTTGTAGTTATTGTTTGTTTTTCTTATTCTTTTTAAATATGCACCAAGTGCTCACTACAAGGTGCTGGTCAACTTTGGAGTTTGCTAAGGAGTGTGTCCGGGTGTTGTGAATCATCAGCCACTTGCAATTTGTTCTTCAGTTATCTAAATGCTAATGGCTCACACACATAATCCTCACTACTTAGGAGGCCTAGATTTTAGGATTACAGTTCAAAGCTAGACCAGGAAGAAAAATCTGAGACTGTGGGCTGGGAAGGTGGCTCAGTGGTAGAGCACTTGCCTTGCATGCCTGAGGCCCTGGGTTCGATTCCTCAGCACCACATAAGCAAAAAGAAAAAAGCCGGAAGTGGCGCTGTAGCTCAAGTGGTAGAGTGCTAGCCTTGAGCTGAAGAGCTGAGGGACAGCGCCCAGGCCCAGAGTTCAGACCCCAAGACCGGACCCCAAAAAAAAAGAAAGAAAGAAAAATCTGAGACTCTTATCTCCAATTCACCAACAAAAAGCCAGAAGTAGAGGTGTGGCTCAAGTGGTAGAGCACCAGGCTTCAGCAGAAAAGCTAAGCAAGAGCAAATGGCCCTGAGTTCAAGTCCAAGTACTGGCCCCAAATAAATAAATGTTATAAAAATTTTTCTAAATGCTCACTCATCCACTATCAAAGATCTATGGAGGAGAGCTAGGCATTGGTGGCTCAAGCCAATAATCCTATCTACTCAGGAGGCTGAGATCTGAGGATCTCATTTTAAAGCCAGCCAAGGCATTAAAGTCCATGAGACTCTGATCTACAATTAAGCACCTAGAAAGCTGGAAGTGGAGCTGTGACTGCAGTGCTAGAATGCTATCCTTGAACAAAAAAGCTCAGGGATGGTGCCCAGACTCTAAAATCAAGCCCCAGGACCCAACACACACACACATCACCTGTTCTATGGAGGAGACCTGGCTGGTGAAAACCATACCTTCTAGAACACAAATGCTGTTCAATGGAGAGAAAACAGCACCATCCTCAAGTGTGGCCATGTGCGTCTAAAGACATAAATCCTCTCACTTGATTTATCCTGACTAAAAGCAGGATGGCTTTCAAATACCACCAGCCCATCAACTCACCTTGTGCTGTGGGCTGACTTCATAAGCTAGTCCTAGCACCTAGTCACCTGTATTTGGAGACAGGGCCTTCTAAGAGGCCTAATCCAATATGATCGGTGTCTTGGTGAGAGGAGATTAGGACACAGACACAAAGGGAAGAGCATGTGAGGAGGCAGGGAGAGGACAGCCATCTCCTAATCTCCTAGCCAGAGAGAGAAACCAACCCTGCAGACACCTTCATCTTGAACTTCCAGACTCTAGAACTGTGAGGAAATCAAAGTTCTGTTGTCTAAACTGTCCGGTCTGAACTGGGTACCAGTGGCTCACACTTATAATCCTAGCTATTCAGGAAGCTGAGATCGGAGGATTGCAGTTCAAAGCCAGCCCAGACATGAAAGTCATGAGACTCTTTACTTCCAATTAACCACTAGAAAACAAGATGTGGAGCTGTGGCTCAAAGTGGTAGAATGCTACCCTTGAGTAGAAGAGCTCAAGGACAGCATCTAGGCCCTGAGTTCAAGCCCCAAACTGACAAATTCTGTCCATTCTGTGAGCTTTACCTTGGACATTCTCTCAGTATCACACCCATTTTCCTTTCAGGCTTGGCTCAGCCTTCTTCCTAGGCAGCCAAATCCTGTTTAACTTGCCCATCCAGCCTCCAGCAGGTGCTGGCCTCACGACTCAAGTCCTGACTCACCACATTCCACGCAGTCCTTCCCATGTCCTGCTCCCCTGCCACCTTGCCTTCCCCTCACAGAAGCAAGTCTGGGGGCTGGGAAGGTGGCTCAGTGGTAGAGTTCTTGCCTTGCATGCATGAGGCCCTGGGTTTGATTCCTCAGCACCAAATAAGCAGAAAAAGCCAGAAAAGGTGGTGCTGTGACTCAAGTGGTAGAGCACTAGCCTTGAGCTGAAGAGCTGAGGCCCAGAGTTCAGGCCCCATGAAGAAGAAGAAGAAGACGAAGGAGGAGGAGGAGGGTGGGGGAGGGGGGGAGGAGGAGGAGGAAGAAGAAGAGGAGAAGGAGGAGAAGAAATAAGTCTGAGGTTTCTGAAGAAAACTGTTATAATAATAATTTGGGGTTTTATTTCCTTTTTTTTTTTTGAAACAGTCTATGTAACCCAGGCTAGAACCCATGATCCTTCTGTCTCAACCTCCTGAGTGTTGGGATTATAGAATGCTCACCATCACACTCTGTTTATACTGATTTTTAAGAACATTAGTAGTGCCAGTTACTAAAGAAGCAGAGGTAGGTGGACAGAAGTCTAAGGCAAGCCCAGGGCAAAATGGAGAGACATTATCTGAAAAACAGACTAACAGCAAAGGCTTAGAGTTTTGGTTCAATGCCTAATATCACCAAAGAAAAAAGACTCGATGGCAATCATATCAGCCAATTGTATTGTTCAAGAAAAATATTTTCCGTTGTGTATATAAAAATAATCTTCACAAATGCCTCACTAGCCAATCCAGTATTATCTCTTTAAGGAATAAATTCATAATGTTATCTATCTTACCCATGACATTAACTGTAAACGCCATTGCACATATATCATTTGAGAAAGAAAGGAAGAAAGGAAGGAAGGAAGGAAGAAAGAAGGGAGGGAGGGAGGGAAGGAAGGAAAGAAGGAAGGAAGGAAGGAAGGGAGAGAGAGAGAAAGAAAAAGAAAGGAAGGAAGGAAGGGAGAGAAAGAAAGAAAAGAAAAGAAAGAAAGAAAGAAAGAAAGAAAGAAAGAAAGAAAGAAAGAAAGAAAGAAAGAAAGAAAGGAAGGAAGGAAGGAAGGAAGGAAGAAAGGAAGAAAGAAAGGAAATATTATTCTAGGTTTACTAATGATGGCCAATCAAGAGATCTGCTGTCAGGCTATCATCAGAGAAGACTGCCTGGAGCCATCACAGCTTCTGTTGAAGAGTGACACAGACACAACCAGATCAAGGGAAGAAACCAGAACATAAAGCCTCAGGAACACAAAGATACTTATTTCTCCTAATCTTGGTCATCTCACTGACTCATGAAAACACGTGTCCAGGCTGTAATTAGCTCTGGGGTTTTTTTGTTTTTTGTTTTTTTTCTAGATTGGGTCGGGGAGGAGGGACAGCTGAGTCTGAATGAAAATAAAACTCTTACACAGCAACAGCCCCCATGGGAAGGCAGCAAGGCTCACGGCTGCAATTTATGCCCGCTGGCTGTGTACCTCAACATCCAAGCTGAGGTCAGCCTGAAGTAAGCACACTGGGTCTAAGCCAAAGGCCTTAATAATAGAGGACATTCTTTAGTTTGCAAATGTGTTTTGAGTTGGTAAATTCCAGAAAAGTCTTACTCTCCTTAGATGATTGGTTCTTGATTTTCCTTGATTGTGTCCACATTTAATCTGTTTTGGCTTATATTTAACATCCTTGTTAGATCTGAGTGTTCACTGGTTATTTACTTTGATTGCATTCACATCAGATTTGCTTCCTACTTTGTTAAGAGTAATTCCATGCAGCTTGTGTGGGTTTTGTGCTATATAAACTGTGTGTTAGTTGTATTCAGGGCAGTAGGGCTTTGTGACAGGAGTCCCCCTGCTGTCTGCTAGTACTACAATTAAGACGCCAAATTCTTCCTTTTAAGTGGTGGCTTCTCTGTTCTTATGACCATCTACCATACAACAAGCCAACTGTGCCATCGTATCTAGGGCAGGCCTTCCTGGGGGCTATAGACTTTACCCTCTCCTGGGCACAATGACAATCACAACCAAATGCATATACTGTGCCAGGTAGTGGCTATGTGTAGTCACAGAATTAAATTTACATTCACTATCCTTAATGCTTATAACAGTCCTTCAAGATAACTATTGCTCTTTTTGTCTGTCTGTCTGTCTGTCTGTGTATGTACATTTTTTTTCTAGCAGAAGACATTAAACCAAGTATAGTGACATACCTGTCATCTCAGCTACTGAAAAGGCTGAAGTAGGAGAATCTTAGTTCAAAACCAGATCAGGTAAAAACTAGAGATGCTACTTTCAAAACAAAGTTAAAGCAAAAGGGCTGGGGGAGTTCAATCCCCCAGGACTGCCAAAAAATAAGGAAGGCAGAAAAGAAAAGAAAGAAAGAAAGAGAGAGAGAGAGAAAGGATAGAGAAGAAGGTTGAAGGTGAGTGAAGCTAAGTAACTTTCCTAAGAGTAACTTTCTCAGATGGGAAAGGATGAAGATTCAAATTCAGTACCCATGTTTTCTTTACCTCAACCACAGGGTACCACCCCTAGTCTACTCAGGACAACCAAGCAGGCAAGAAGCCTTACCTCGGGCTGGGAAGGTGGCTCAGTGGTAGAGCACTTGCCTTGCATGCATGAGGCCCTGGGTTCAATTCCTCAACACCACATAAGCAGAAAAAAAAAGCTGGAAGTGGTTCTGTGGCTCAAGTGGTAGAGCGCTAGCCTTGAGCTGAAGAGCTGAGGGACAGAGCGCAGGCCCAGAGTTCAGGCCCCACAACCGAACCCCCCCCAAAAAAAATTAAATAAAAAAAGAAGCCTTACCTCACAGAGGGAGGCTCCTGAAGATAGTACTCGGTGTAATGTAGACCCAGGTGACACAGCGTCTGCCAGCTCATCTGGAAGAAGAAAGTCCACCGGTGGACGTCCTGTGGGCCAAGTGAAGAGAGCAGAACCATGGCACAAAGAGCAGAAGTAAAGACAAGAAGAGCATAGGGCCCCATGGCAGCCACGGCCAAGGCCCCTCCTCCAGCCAGCAGAAAGAGGTACCTGAAAGGAAAGGGACAAGCTAGTGAGCCTCAGAACAGTGAGGCAAATGCAGCAGTTCAGAAAGCATCTCAGGAAGCCAATCAAGGTAGATCCTACAGAGACCACATGGTCAAGGGGCACCAGTGGCTCACACCTATTACCTTAGCTACTCAGGAGGCTGAGATGTGAGGATCATTGTTTGAAACTAGCACAGTCAGACAAACCTTAAAGACTCCAATTATCCAGCAAAAAGCTGGAAGTGGAGATGTGGCTCAAGTAGCAGAGTGCCAGTCTTGAGTGGAAAAGTCAAACAAGAGTGCAAGACCCTGAGTTCAAGCGCCAACACTAACATTATTAATAATTAATTATTATTGTTATTAATTATTATTATTAAAGAGACCATACTGTTATCACACCAGAGCCCTCGCTTGATCGTTTGAAAGAAAAAGTGAGAGTATGCTTGTAAACTACAATCTTAGAAGAGAAATCTCAACTCCTCCCTTAGTGCCCAGGAAGCCTTTCTATGGTTGTCCAGCATCTTTGTTGAAAACACATGCTTCAAATGAGGAAGAGCTCAGTGGTCCATTGTTACTGAGGGCACCGCACCCTATTTGCCCAGGACAATGGAGTGGTGATCTAGCCAGACTCTCACCCAATGTAGGCCACCACTGTCCCTATCAGTCCTGGAGGACTTGTACTGAATGTTGAACTCAAAAACTTGTGCTTACTAGGCAGATGCTCTACCACTTGAACCACCCCACTGGCCCCTTTTGTCTTGTTTTTTTGAGATAGGGTTTCCCTTTATGGTTGGGGGCCTGCACTGTGATCCTCCTATTTGGGCTTCTCCCACAGCTGGAATGACAGGCATATGCTGCCATGCCCAGCAACAGTTTGTTGGAACGGAATCTAGAAAACAGATTTTTTATTTTTATATTTTTCTTGGGCTAGGCTTGAACCAGGATCTTCCAATCTCTCCCTTCCAAGTAACTAAGGTTACCGGCATGAGCTAATACAGCCATGCAGAAAATATTTATAACTGCCCCCTTACTCTACTACTGTTCTCCAGATCTTAGGAGTTCCCATTTGGTTTGTTTTCATTGTTTATTAATATTCTTGTGAGAAATCTTCATAGTCACTGCAGATTGGGTGGCTTCAGACTCTTTACTCCTTGTCAGCACCAGCATTTGTCTCTTTCCACTCGCATGACTACCTCCATTTTGTTTGCCATTTCCTTAAAGTCTTTTTCTCTTCATATACATTGTATCTTGCAAGTCTACACTTGAATTCATTTTTGTTTGTATGATTTAATCTAAGGAATTGAAAACTATGACATTGCTCATCACCAAAATAAGGTCTGAATATAAACCCAAAGGGAATACCCAGTGCTGGGCGCCGTTGGCTCACGCCTGTAATCCTAGCTACTCAGGAGGCTGAGATCTGAGGATCGTGGTTCAAAGCCAGCCCGGGCAGGAAAGTCTGTGAGACTCTTATCTCCAATAATCCATCAGAAAACTGGAAGTGGATCTGTGGCTCAAGTGGTAAAGTGCTTGCCTTGAACTGAGCACAGAGACAGTGCCCAGGCCCAGAGTTCAAGCCCCATGACCAACCAAAAAAAAAAAAAATGCAGGGGGGGGGGGGGGGGGGGGGGGGGGGGAGATACCCGGTGTGGTTTGTACATTTTGGCCAATTTTCCCCACCATTTTTTGCATTTTTATTATTATAAAAAGGTGATATAAGAGGGGTTACAGTAACATAAGTCAGATAAAGAATACATTTCTTTGTGGACGTCACTCCTTGCCTTGCTTTCTCCTAGTTTTTCTCTTTTGCCCCACCCACACGTTGTATAGTTCATTTTCAACGTAGTATCTAGTGTGTAGCACTGTTGCATTTGTTCACCCTTTGTCGCACCATTTCTGGGCTTCCTCTTACCCTCCCAAAGAGACAGATAAACAAACTAAAGGAGAACAAAAGGAGAAGAAAGCAAAAACAGCAACAAAGGGAAAAAAAACCTCTTGTTTCCATATCCTGGAGTTCATTTCAAAAAACATCATTTTATATGATCAGATGTACATAGCTATTGCACCTTTGTGATGCTCTCTTAAGAAGATCTTCCTTTGGTCTCGCTCTGTGTGAATGCCTAGAGACCTGTATAATTTATCATGTCCCAGGGTATTTTTTTTTCTCCTCTGTATTAATGCCTTCCTGGGTAATGGGCATCAACACTCATTGCCACTGAAGCCTCCACTGGTCAGGAGTCCCTGATCTCCATGGTTACAGTTCTTCCAATGTTGGGAGGCACCTACATGGAAGAAGTGGTGGTTGGCCCACCAGCCCTCACCAGCCATGGCCAGGAGGATCTGCACAGGCCTGGAAGACTTCATGTGGATTTGGTTCTTCTTTCTGCATTACATTCAGGGTTTTCAAAAATTAGAACAAGTAAATAAAGCTGAATGAAGGGGTCAAAAAACATCAAATGGGTCTGGTCAGGGTTAGTAAGGGGAAGGAAAGAAGCCTATAATTTCTCTATGAACTCCAAAACAGTGAATATATCCCAGGGAGTGTATCATAGCTCTGCACAGGGAAGGGCATTGCATTCATTGGTAAGAATAACTTTCTTAGAGACACCAATAGGTGCCCAAATGGAGATACTGTATGTCATTAAAGACTTGAACTACTTCTGAGCTTTTCATTGACTCTCCACCCAGGAGGTCTCCACTGTACCCCAAAAGCTGTAATCACTATGGAAAAAGGAGGAGGACACTTATTCTTTGTATAACAGAAGTAACCAGAAATAGCCTTCCCACTCAGAGGCAACTACCCTAGGGGAATTACAAACATTGAAATGTCTATACCGGTATACAGTAAAGGATGGATAATTTACTGTGTGCTTTCAATAATATTTATTTCCTTCTAGGCATTGTACAAAGTATCCTTTACAAGAAATACTTTTACTTAAGCTTTAAAATAACCCTATTAGCCAAGTGCCAGAGGTTTATGTCTGTAATCCTAGCTAGTCAGGAGGCTGAAATCTGGGATCACAATTCAAAGACAGCCTGGGTAGAAGAAGTCAAAAGACTCAGTCTCCAATTAACCTGCAAAATGCTGTACAGGAGGTATGGCTTAAGTGTAGAGCACCAGCCATGAGTAAAAAAAGCAGAGCAAGAGTTCACCACCGTGGGTTCAAGCCCCAAGCACTGGAACACACAAAGGATAATGCCATTATTATTTCTATCTTACAGAGAGAGGTTATTCACAGGCACAAGGTCTCTCAATGAGTAAGGAACTTAGGACTCAGCAGACCAACCTCAAAGTAAGCTATCATAACCTGAGGATAACTCAATTCCCCAATTAATTCTTATTAACTGCTTGTTTTATTTTATTGCTTTGTGATTCTTTCTCTTTATAGCTGTTCTCTTTGTAACTGTTCTTCCCTCCTTCATCTGCTGGAAACAAAGCTAAGGACCATCAAGAGTAAACATGAAATAACATGGCATCGTTTAATGAAACTTAGATTTTAGTTAAGAAAATCCAGTAGAGTTGGGTGTAACAGTGGTAGACAACTTACTCAGTATGCAAGGCCCTGGGATCAAATCACCAGTGCCACAGACACAGACACACACACAGACACACACACACACACACACACACACACACACACACACACACACACAGAGGGAGGGAGAAACTCATGTGTAAAAGTCCTCATTTTCAAAGTAAAGGAATCCATCAAGAGATCTTCTAATTTGGGGAGGGGAAGGGAAATAACAAAATGCTGAAATAAGGATACAGGTTAACCCATTGTAACAATAAGATGTACAAGACACTATGTTAAAAATGAACTTTACAACTTGGAAGGGAGAGGGAGGAGTTGGGGAGGTGGGGAGGTAAGGGATAGTAGGGGAAAAACAGGAGGTAACAATGCTGGATAATAAATATACTCATTACCTTACTCGTGTAACTAATCCTCTGTACAGTATTTTTACAATAAAAACATATGCAAAATTAAAAAATAAAATTAAAAGATACCTCTAGCAAAAGAGGGGTGGTCTTAGCTAGGCACTGGTGGGTCATGCCTGTAATCCTAGCTACTCAGGAGGCTGAGATCTGAGGATCACGGTTCAAAGCCAGCCTGGGCAAGAAAGTTTGTGAGACTCTTATCTCCAATAAACTACTCAGAAAACCAGAAGTAGTGCTGTGGCTCAAGTGGTAGAATGCTAGCCTTGAGCTGAAGAGCTGAGGGACAGTGCCCAGGCCCAGAGTTCAAGTCTGATGACCAACAACAACAAAAATAGATGGCCTTAGAAGAATAGATTTTTTTAGTATTCAAAAAGACATCCATTAAACTTTTTAAAAATAGGAATTGTCTTTAATAAAGAGGTTATTTGACATAAAATTTATTACACTCATAGTTATAAAATCTCTAGTGACAGTAACTAGTAAACAGTAACTTTAGAACCACACATTGCTATATAACTAATCTATCAAGGTATGCTTTGATTTACTTCTCCAAGAAATCACTCAAGGCATATTTTGAGAAAAAAAAATCACACTTTTTTAGCTGGGTGCTATAATCCTAGCTACTTTTGAGGCTGAGATAGGGAGGATTGTAATCCAAGGCCAGCTCAGACAAAAAGTTCTGAAGAGAAAGCCAGGCACCCGTGGCTGAAGTCTTAGTCCAAGGATATTCCTGCCATCTCAGGAGGCTAAGAACAGAGGACCAAAATTCAAATCCAGCCTAGGAAGGTCTGTGAGACTCTCAGAAAAAGCCAGAAGTAAAGTTGTAGCTCAAATGGTATAGTGCTAGCCTTGAGTGAGATAGTTAAGAACGTGAGTTCAAGCCCTGTAACTGGTGCGCGCGCGCGCACACACACACACACACACACACACACACACGAAAATCTCTCGAGACTCCTTCTTAAATGATAGGTGAGTATGATAGCACATGCCTGTCTCTTCCTAGCTACAAAGAAAAGCCTTAAATAGGCAGATCAGAGTCCAAGCGTGTGCCTGGGTAGGAAGCAAGACCCTGTATTTAAAAAAAAAAAAACAACGCACATCTGGGCACAGTGGTGCATGCCTGTAAACCTAGCTACTCAGGAGGCTGAGATCTGAGGACTGAAGTTAGAAGCCAGTCTGAGCAGGAAGTCCATAAGACTCTTTTTTTTTTTGGTCAGTCATGGGGCTTGAACTCTGGGCCTGGGCATTTTCTCTGAGCTCTTCAGCTCAAGGCTAGCACCCTACCACTTGAGCCACAGTGCCACTTCCAGCCTTTTCTGTTTATGTGCTGCTGAGGAATCAAACCCAGGGCCTCATGCATGCGAGGCAAGCACTTTACTGCTGAGCCACCTTCCCCGTCCCCATAAGACTCTTACATCCAATTAACCACCAAAAAGTCAGAAGTGGAGCTGTGGCTCAAGTGGCAGAATGTTAGATGAGGAAAAAAAAAAACAGAAAAAGAAAAAAAGCCCAGGGCCAATATCCTGGCCCTGAGTTTAACACCAGGACTGGCACCAAAAGCAAGCAAGCAAACAAACAAAAAACAGTCACACAAAAAAAGAATGGAGGCATAACTTATCAGTAAACCAACTGCCTAGGAAGTTTAAGGCCCTGAGTTCAAGCCACTACTGCCAAGAAAATTACATTTTTTACAAGTGTCACATTTGAATGTTGATTTATATAAAATATAATTTTATTGCAAATAACTGCTCAAGAATATCTGAGATTTGGGGTTCGACAGAGAACTTCGGTACCATCCCAATATTCATCTCTCCCCAGTTTTTTTTTTTTACCAAATTCCCGTTTAATGTGTACACTTGGACTCCATGTAGACACAATGTCAGTTGGTCTATTTTACATAAACATTACCTAACAACCAATAATCAGTTGTAGGAATAGTAAGCTAAAACCAAGTAAAACTAATATATGATCATCACACACAAGCAGTCTGCTCTGTGCTTTCCACCCTATTCAAGTATTACCAAGTTCAAGAGCAAGTCCAGCCTACCTGGACTGAATGGAAAAGGAGTCCTTGTTGCAGAGATAATGAAACAGCAATGCAAAAGGAAAGGAAGCCCCTTGATAAAATGATACAGGATATACGGTGAACAGTGGAAGCCAATCCATTATGAGCTGTGACGAAAACAAAAAACAAAAAAACAAAAACAGTCTCCCTCCGAGAGCCACCTTGCAGGAGAAATGGCAGCCAGGTTCTCCCTGGCCTTTTAATCTGGTTTAGGAAGCCCTGGCTGAGCAAGAGCTCTAGAGATAAGTAGCATAAGAGTTGGCTTTCTGATCATGGAAACTGCACTAGGGAAACCAATATATTTTGATGTGATACTACTTCAGAACACATACTGAAAACATTGCCTTCCAAAGTTGTGCTCTAGAGTTTACACAGCATAATATTTACCTTTCCAGTGTTCCTGTTGCCATATTTTCTTCACTAAGTGAATGAAAAATCTCACTTTCCAGCTGTGGGCAGATAAGTCCTGGGCTGGAGAGGGAAATGAACACATGAGCAGGATTAAGGAGTGCAGGATCTCAAGGCAATAAAAGCCTAACAAGATTTCCCCTTCTTAAACTCAACTCTCATGCAAGAACTGGTGGCGCACACCTGTAACCCTAGCTACTCAAGAGGCTGAGATCTGAGGATTATGGTTTGAAGCCAGCCCAGGCAGGAAAGTCCATGAGACTTATTTCCACAAGTTTCTTACTTCCAATTAAATCCCCAAAATGCTGAAAGTAGAGCTGTGGCTTGAGCTCAGGGATAGCACCTAGGCCCTGAGTTCAAGCCCCAAGAAAAAAGAAAAAAAGAAAGAAAAGAAAATCCCATAACTACCACTTCTTTCTATAACTTCATTTCTCACATCAGGTACCCTGATACGACTGTGCACTTTACAGGCACACCAGGAGCTCTATGAGGGAGGATTTTGTTATGCTGGGGCTGTGTCCTCAGCACAGAGGACAGCCTTCAACACACACTTTGTACTCAATAAAATAACTATGTGTTCAATTTGAAAAGGTTTTGATAAAGCACAAGGGTGGAAAGGACACATTTAAAAGGAAATTCTTTGGAGGATGGACAAATAATATGAAGATGACTACTTAGAGACAAAATGAGAGGCCATCTCTTGACTAGGAGAGATCCATCTCCTGACCCTGGGCTCAGCTAGTTTTCATCACTGAAGACCCCAGGAAGAGCAAGTAACCTTAAATATTAAGGATGAGGAGATAGAGCCAAATAGAAAGAGAACTTTGGGGCAAGGATTGCCTCTTAGTGACTCCCAGAGATGCACAAATGAGAAGACTCAATGGACTGGGGAGCTTGGAGCCAATTTGTTCACCTCTCTGAAACCAAACTCCTTCCTCTCAGACATAATAGAACAATGAATTAGAGGGCTGGGAAGGTGGCTCAGTGGTAGAGTGCTTGCCTTGCATGCATGAGGCCCTGGGTTCAGTTTCTCAGCACCACATAAGCAGAAAAAGCTGGGAGTGGTGCTGTGGCTCAAGTGGTAGAGCATTAGCCTTGAGCTGAAGAGCTGAGGGACAATGCACAGGCCCAAAGTTCAAGCCCCACAACCGACCAAAAAAACAATACCAAAAATAAATTAGACAAAATAATGCCTGCTCAGGCAAGCGCTGGTGGCTCACACGTGTAATCCTAGCTACTCAGGAGGCTGAGATCTGAGGATCACGGTTCAAAGGCAGCCTGGGCAGAAAAGTCCATGAGACTCTTATCTCCAATAAACCACTAGAAAACTGGAAGTGGCTCTGTGGCTCAAGCGCTTGCCTTGAGCTGAAGAGCACAAGGAGAGAGCCCATGCCCAGAGTTTAAGCCCCATGACCAAAAATAAAAATAAAAAATAATGCCTGCGCAATAGAATTATTAGAAAAATTAGATGAACAAAACATAAACTCGGCTTACTGAATGCATTTGAAGGGAACTCAACTGTATAATAAAACATATGAGCATGTATCACCCAAACCAGCCTGTGGTTGTACTGGGAAGCAGTGGAAATTTTACAAGTTGGAGCTTAAACCATGAGCTGGTGGCTCATTCCTATAATCCTAAACTACTCAAGAGGCTGGGATCTGAGGATCATGGGATTGTGTCTCAAAGCCAGCCAGGGTAGGAACATCCATGAGACTTCTCTCTAATTAATTGGGGGGGAAAAAGACAGAAATAAAGCACTAGCCTGGAGCAATATATCTGAAGGACAGCCCTCAGGCCCTGAGTTCAAGGCTCAGTACAGGTGTGCATGGGTGCCCATGTGTGCGTGGGTGCCCATGTATGCACGCGGACGCGTGCGTGCACACACACACACACACACACACACAGAGCTGGGGCCTAGCAGAAGAAAGTTAGTTATCACGGGCATGTCCTTGAAGGGAACATTGGGACCCCAGTCTCTGTCTCTTTCTTTCTTTGCTTCCTTGCTATTAGGAGATAAACAGCCTCCTTAACCACATGTGACTAACATTCTGTTTGGCTCTCCCGTTGGCTCTGTTTCTCTGGTTGCACACCATGTATGTGATGCCTGAGACATATGGGCAGAAGATGCTGGGGGCAGGGCAGAAAAAGTGGATTAGGGAAAAGGCAGCAAGTGGAAGTAGTTGTGTGTGGAGAGCAGGTTGGCTTTTTGGAGAAAGTTTTGATTGTGCATGGAGGAAGACCAGGAGGAGTGAGATGCTGGGGGTGGGGGTCAGGGTAACAAGCTGGATCTAGTCTACATAGACATAGTCTGTGCAAAGTAGTTCAGGCTTTAAGAGGAAATACAAGGAAATGAACTGTATTCGATTTAGAGGATGTTTGGGCTACAAGAACATGATTTTGGGGTTGGATAGATCAGAGGGTGGAAAGACTTTCTCCAGGGCAGAAAGAGATGACTCAGAAGCTGGGATTAGATTAGAGATGGTGGAGTAACTACCACAAAGTGGAAGAATAAGACCTCAAAGGATGGAGGAACAGAAACCGTGAGTGTATTACATATGCTGAATTGAGGGGTGCCAAGAAGTCAGGAATCTGGCTTGAGCAATGGGGTGAAGGATAGATTCTTTTACTGAGATGTAGATCAAGGAACAAAAGGTTGGAGAGAAAGCAAGAGTATTAATTAAAAGCTCCTGTTTTGGAGGTTTTAGGTTAGCTGTCTTGGAGATATCAAGTAGTCAATTGAATATCAGGTCTGAGCCTCTGCAGAGGAAAGAGCTAGAGATATAATTTGAGAAAGCCTGCAGGTAGAGAACAGCACTTAATCTGCAGGAAGATTGAGATTTCCCAGAATCAGAAAAGAGCCAGGGCCTGGTAGGAGGAACCCTAGCAACTAAAGCAAAGCTAGGTGACTGAAATAACAAGATAAGAGGAATGAAATATCCCAGCTCCCTGGAGCCGGTGACACTCAAACCCATGATCAGTGAAAGGAGTCACCAGATCTCAGTCAATCTGGCTGGAAGCTTTTTATTTAACCACATGGCATCAGTCCCAGCTCAAACAGCTGGAAAACAGCCCTGCTGGCTGTTCACAGGGGATTTTTATAGGAAGGGGTTTCATGTAGGTGATGTTTACCAAAGCAAGCAAGAGCATAGGCAAAACATAATCTTGACTTGGTCAGCATGACCAATACTATTAATGCTATTGACACTATTGATACTTGATTACAAAAAGTCAAAACATATCCTTGGATGACAGACATCAAAATACAACCTTGGGTGGGATGGTCTATTTTACAGGAACGAGTTTTATTATAAGCTCCTGATTAATACAGCAACTCAGTGCAGCTGGTGATAAGCCTCAAGGTTGTCAGGAGCCTTCTGCAAAGCTGCCAGCTTGGTAAACTTGAGAGATATTCTTTTGCTTTTTAGCAAGGATGTAAAGGAGCTAAGGCTGACTGCTGCTAGTCAGAGTTAGCCTGGAGTTTTTCTATATCAAGAGGTTTTGTCCTTTATCAATAATTTAGTTCTGTATTCAGACTTTACATGTTACAGGAAACACCTGTGATCAGGGTGCTCTCTCTCTCTCTCTACATATATATATATATATATATATACACACACACACACACACACACATACATATAGATAGATAGATAGATATAATGGGGGGGGACAGGGTTGGTCGTGGGGCCTGAGCTCTGGGCCTGGGTGCTGGGTGCTGTCCCTCAGCTCAAGGCTAGCACTCTACCACTTGAGCCACAGTGCCACTTCCAGCTTTTTTTGCTTATGTGGTGCTGAGGAATCGAACCCAGGGCCTTGTGCATGCGAGGCAAGCGCTCTACCACTGAGCCACCTTCCCAGGCCGTGGTCAGGAATATTAAAGTAAGGTAGGGGTGAAGTCATAACAGTGTGCTCTGGATTGAAATAAACGGCTGTTTTACCTTTTATTTTTTTTAACGTTTTTGAGTCCAGTCTGGCTTTAAATTCACCCATGTAACCCAGGGTGGCCCGAACTAAATATCTCTGCGTCGCAGCGTTGCGATTACAGGCATGTGAAAACCACGCTTTTAAAAAGCGGTTTTAAAGCAGCTCTGCCCAGGGACGGGGCTAACCTCCGCGGGTGGCCGCGCAGGCGTCCTGGCAGAGTCTGCCGCCCAACCCAAGTACCGGCCCAGCAGGAGGAACTGGGGTCCCCGCCCCCGGCCCCGCCCAGTCAGGCGATGGCCACGCCCACAAGCGCCAAGGCACGCCGTGGCTCCTCCCCTTCCCCTCCACATCGCCAGTCTCTCCAATCGCGTGTAGAGATCATCGCTCTACTCGAGCGGGGGTGTCGATTGCTGCTCCAATCGGAGACCAGGACTTTATGATGGCGGAGAAGACTCAAAAGAGGTGGGTCTCCGTCCTAACCTGAGGCTCTTCTCTCCGCAGGGGTGGGGCTGCTTCTGGTTGCACGCCTTGGGGACCGCAATCGTGTTTCTTCCCGGGCATTTGGATGGATGGGACCGAAAGACGAGACCCGGCGTCCTCGGAGGGACGGGGCGACGCCGCGGGGAAAGGGGCGGCTACCCGGGACGCGGCGTCGGGCCCGAAACGTTCTGGTTCTTCCTGCTCGCCGTACCCGGGCCCAGTGCGCCTGCGCACGCCCGGGGCTGGTGGTCCGCAGGCATCCGCACCGGGCCGGCGCCATCCGGGTC